AATCAATCACAAAATAAAAACCCCAATTTTAGAGAAAACTATAATCAACTACAATCCGTTGCCAATTTTCGACATTTCCGTCACAGATCCGTCAAATACTATAATCAACCATGAACGAGGATTCCAGGTTCCTGCGCCGCCGTCTCAGCCGCTCCACAACTTCGATCTGCCAATCACTCTCTGGTGGAGCAAGGACGAAAATCTCCTGGTGTCATCCGCCAATTACCACTCCGCCACATTAGATCGTCGCCGCGGAAGGCTAAAACGGTGTTCCACGCCTCCCTCCTCTAGACGTTGTCAGGCGGTTCTGTGCAATCTCCATCGTTGTCGCTCCGCCATCCCTCGTCTCGGGAGATGAGGACGTCGAGAAGGAGGTGGGGAGCGGTGGCAATTGAGAGGCGGCTGGCCAGAGGCGGAGATCGATGGCAGGCGAGAAAAGGGGAGAGAAGCGAGATGGCAGGGAGAGAAGATAGAGAGGTAACGGCTAGTTGATTAAAAATGAAGAATGATTTAGAGAAATAGGGTTTGGTGTTTTTATGTGGTAATTTAAGGGTAATATAGATATACTATATAAAATCTGAATTTATGCTAAATTAAAATATAAATAGGAGGGTTCTCACTAATATTCAAAATGAGGATATATCCATCTTAATATAACTAAATGTATTAGGGAATTTTCACTAATTATCCAATCCAGATAAGGAGTAGTTCTCTTTGTTCATTATTAAAAGCACTATTTTTACTCTAAAAATTGAAGGTCAGGTCAGCAGTAGGTAAATTAGATTTGAAATTGGAAGGATTAGGGTTGAGACTTGTGAAGGTTCTTGAAACCATGACTTCAAACATTAGGCCTACATTCACTTTGTATCATTGAAGTATAAATTTTAGCACATAGCATCGTTAAAAAAAATAATAGCAATTTGCACCTTCAAACACAATAAAATTATTCATAATGCACCTAATATTGAATTTTTATAAGGGCGAATGGTAAAAATGCTCATCACATGGGACTTAAATCCACATTGGTCCACAAAAAAATCAGTCTCTCAATTAAACTCATCCCCATGTATTTAGTCTAAAATATCCTCCATAATATAATTCTTATCAATTCCATCCATTATGCTCTAACTTCCTTAATATTACACATTGACCCCGGATTTAAACAAATATATCACATTAACCCCCCAAATATTTTTTTTTCTGAATTGTTTTTTCCGGCCAGATTCCGGTGTTGACCGCCGGTCTCCGGCGTTGACCTTTTTTTTTTGAAAACTTTTTTTTCCCTGAAATTTTTTTCCGGCCGGTCTCCGGCGTTGACTTTTTTTTTAGAAAAAATATTTTAATTAATATTACTGTCTTGGCTACTAAATTACTGTCTCAGACAGTAATATTACTGTTTGGGACAGTAATATTATGAATATTATTTTCCCGAACAGTAATATTATTAATGTTATTGTCTAAGACAGTTAAATTACTGTTGGAGACAGTAATTTAGCAGCCAAGACAGTAATATTAATTAAAATATTTTTTTTTAAGAAAAAAAAAAAAGTCAATTAACAGTTAAATTACTGTCTCCGACAGTTAAATAACTGCTGGAGACAGTAATTTAGCAACGAATACAGTAATATTAATAAAAAAAAATGAAGAATAAAAAATTCAATTAACAGTTAAATTACTGTCTCCGACAGTTAAATAACTGCTGGAGACAGTAATTTAACAACCAATACAGTAATATTAATTAAAATATTTAAAAAAAAAAGTCAATTAACAGTTAAATTACTGTCTCCGACAGTTAAATAACTGCTGGAGACAGTAATTTAGCAGCAATGACAGTAATATTAATTAAAATATTTTTGAAGAAAAAAAAAAGTTAATTAACAGTTAAATTACTGTCTCCGACAGTTAAATAACTGTTGGAGACAGTAATTTAGCAGCCAAGACAGTAATATTAATTAAAATATTTTTTTAAGAAAAAAAAAATTACTAAAAAAAAAAAAAAAAAGTCAACGTCGGAGACCGGCGGTCTCCGGTGGTGGCGGGTCAAAATTGGGGTCAAATTTGAAATTAGGGTTAAAAATGGTTAATTGATGAAATTTGGCTAAATTGGGGTGTAAATCATGAAATTGGAGTTGAATTAAGTTTCAATGAATTGGGGGTAATTTTGGTATATATAAAGGGATTTTCCTTATTTGCAAATAAGTTTGAATGGACTGGATTTACTTGAAAGACAAAAAAGTTGGATGTCACTCTTTTAATTAAGTGCCCTTGTCATGGTCCTATTTGTCATTTGCCCTTTTTATAATGACTTAAAAATTATATTTAATTTATAAACAGTGTTAAATTCTTACCAAATTTTTCATCACCAGTCTAGAGATAGGTCTTTTACTGGAATTAGTAAAAATAAATTGATGAATAAATCATGGTAATTTTATTTTTTAATGTACTTATGTTAATTGCGTGGTGTTGAGTGACGAAAAAAAAAATTCCTTTAGCCATTTTCGTTTGTAAAATTAATTCCAGCAAATATTTCACAAATTGCAATAACAAAATAATTGGTTGAGAAAAAAAGTTGAGATGATTTTTTTTTTCTCTTTTCTTCGAAAAACAATTGTCTTTCAACTAATGTAGGATTTTTTTTTTTTTTTCTTTTTCACTTTGTATGTTCAAAAAATTTGCAGCATAAAAAATATGAAGTTGACTCGTTAACTACAAAAAGAAATATTATAATAAACAATTTGTGTTGTGTTGGATATTTGCTATGAACGAGAATTTGCCGAGGCGAGTAGTCTCTGTCCTTAACACGAAATTTCCCCGCAACGGTGCTAACGGATTAAATGGAAATCGTCTCCCAAGATACAACGGCAAAACTTGGAATAGGAGCACTCCAAATCCCAAGTACGACGAGCTGTACTTTGTGCAGAACTTTTCGAGAGAATCTGTAAGGCGAAAGCTTAATATGCAGTAGGCTTGTTTTTGGACTGAAGTGAGGAATTGTGGGAAAGTTAGGGTCTATTTATAAGGTTCGAAAAGTAGTGTCCTTTTGGAGTAAAAAGGTACCTTTTGTTTGAATGGTTGCACCATTTCGAATTGAGTCAATTGGGAGTAGTTGCACCATTTCGAGTTGAGCCGAATGGTTTGCATTGGTTCAGCCGCACCAATTCGGCCCAAAAAATTAATGTAGTGATTTGGGCCCGAGCCCAAATCCAATCCGTACATACGAACGAACGAGCGAGCCGAGCCGGCCGGTCGGACGGCGCGCGTGTGGGCACGATTTGAAACACATAACATATAGGCCTTTCTCCCAAACAAAGTTGAATGCCCAAAGGGCGTGACCCTTTGTCCCAATATTTTGATATATATACAGCTCAGTACTTCTCTACTTTTCCAATGTGGGATAACTCAAAATCTCACTTTCCTTATATTTTGGACTAGTAATTTTTCATTCACCACAAAATTGGTTATAATCCAAAATTCATTTATATACTCAATTTAGACCGTACAATGACATTGATAAAAAATTGTTCATGACTCAATTTTTAACCAATTTTCCCAACATGTTGCAACTAGAATAGTTTATTGTGTTTCCATGGTGTAAAACCACGGACGGTTCTCACTATATAGCTAGGCGAGAGAGACTCTCGCATCGAGTACTCTATTTTTTGTAAAAAAGCTCAGGGGCCCCTAAATCATGTTTTGTACTCTTTGATATACATGTCATAATATTAAATGATATTTAAAATATATAAATATTTCAATAATTTGAATAACCATAGCTATATTATTTTACATAGTTGAAGAACCATAGCTATATTATTTTACATAGTTGAAGTATTTGTTGGAAATTTTTACACTTATTCTTGCATTTAAGGTGAATGAAATGTCTTAGATCAATCATAAATAGTTAGACATTCCTACCAAATTTTATCTATTTCAAGATTTTAAACTTTGTTTCCAACATTTTTTGCATTTTTTTAATAATCTATGTTACCTATCTCTAACTTTCGAGACTTTCGACTTGTTGAAATGTACTATATTTTATTTTATTATATTTAAACAAACCGTACATATATTTATTTGTTCAATAGTATTTCTATGAATATTTTCAAAAAACAGCCCGAACCCCGCAAAATTTTAATTTACCTGAACTTCGTCAATATGTTAGTCATATTTTCTCCAAAATTCATAATTGCTAATCCAAAATTCATAATCGTGCACGTTAAAATGAATTAATGTGCACATTATACAATACAAATTGAAGCTATTTTTACTAAATTCTTAAAACTCACCTAGGACCCCTAAGTTCTCAAGATTAACCATGCGCAACATGCCATTAAATTCAACTGGAGATGTAGAGTGACAAAATGATATATTTCAAGGTGCAAGGAATTAAGCCCAAACATTACATAGGAAATAAGGAATTGCATGTACAATGGCATAACATATGTGACTTTTAATTTTAAATCCTCGTAATATGGGGAAATAATTAGGAGTAAGATGATTTATATGAAAATCTAACCTCATTTATAAGATTGTAAGCATAAATAATTGTTTAAAATTAAACAAACTGACCATTCAAGGAAAATAATTGTCCACATGAGAATATTTCAAATAAAGAAAACCAAATAAGCAGAAATATTAAACCAACAGTTTGTGATAAATCTTGTTCTGCAAAACCCTAAATTCAAAATTTCCCAAAAAAAATGTTTTTTAAAACCCTCGAGCAATTTTTAAATTAAAATGTTTCTCTGTCTTTTAACTCTGTTTCTATTCAACCACATCTCTTCCTTTCTGCCACCTCCACACATACACACTGCAATCACATGATTGATGAATGTAAATCATTTGCACAAAATAAATAAGAGATTGTATAGAAAACTGAGATAATCCACAAAGCACACATACACATGAGTGTGTGTGATTATGTGTAGATCAACGATTAATATAGCATCAAATAAATTATGATAAGATAATGTTTCGTTGATTAAATTACCTAATCAAGATCATGGAATCAATGCCTTCTTTATGTTGTCCACAGTGCAACTAATAATTTGGTTAGCCATTGCAATTGATCCCATTGAAATCTTTGCATTTGGAGAAGAATCAACCAAAATCTGTATATTGTAAATCATGTATGCATTATTATTATTATTATTATTATTATTATTATTATTATTATTATTATTATTATTATTATTATTATTATTATTATTATTATTATTATAGAATGGAAATTAGAATACAATATTCCCATGTAAAATTATTACCAACATTCATTAATTATACCACAAAGAAAAAAAGAGAGAAGGAAGGAGAAGAAACCTGATGTGCCACAGTCAAAAGAGATCCTCCGGAGTCAACTTGAGCTGCCGTTCCCCTGCCTTGACCGCCGGTGGGCCCATCAGGAAGAATGGCGAATCCCGACGGAAGTAAGGGCACATGATTTGGATCTCCACCGCCTATAGTTGCACTCACGTAAACCGGGTCCATTGGAGCGTAAACAACATAAGACGCTGTTTGATCAGTCCGACTTTCTTGCAATAGTATCATCTTCCCCTCCCTTGAACTCATATCCTATCAAACACAAGGTTATTGTACATTACTTTTAGTAATTAATCATATATATTAAAGATATTATAAGAAAATAATGAAACAATTACTTGATATAATGCAACTCGGTTGCCTATTTCATCTCCGCTCACAATGTGCGCCATTTCGCGAAACTCGGCACCACTCGAAAGCATGTCCCACTACCATTAACCAATTATATATTTTGGTTACATATAACTAGACAACTTTCAAAATTGAATTGCACATATAGTTCAAACGAAAAGGATATACGCAAAAAGTGAACTTAAAATAATAATTACGTACCTCCTTTCTTCGTTTAAGATTCCTCAAGAAGTTAAAAACTCTTTTTGGTGGAATGGGAAGCCAGAAAGAAGTTGCAACACAGAGTTGAATACCGAATGGCATAGTCGGGTCATCCACGTTTTTCCGGGTAATCACTTTGACACTATCGTTTCCGATTCCGGATAGGGTTGTCCATGTGTTGTTGATTGAAGCGTTTACTCCATTGCAAAACCGACCTATCATTCTTTCCGCTAGCTTCAACAAGCTTTTCCTACCTTCCTCGTTTGCTACCACATACATATATATTTCAAATATCATTATCATTATATTGCTACTATTTTAGCTAAATACGACTAGGCTAAAGTGTTGTTGGTGATATATAGATATATAGATATATATATATATATATATATATATATATATGACGACGATGCACACACACGACAAGAATATTAGTCGTAAAAATATGTACCTAAGTAATTGGAATTGCTGGAGCTTGGAGGGATGTCGGTTGCACTAGCGACGCGTTGACAATATCCATCAAGAATTGCAATCCAACGCTTTGCACCGAATGCTAGACCTGCGGTAATTAGAGGCTTGTATATACTGTGACCACCTCCTTCTTCTACTTCGATATTCTCAACCCACGTGACCTACATAATTGAATACACCATATAAATATAAGTTTTTCGAACATATATCCTAACATTTTTACAGCATATATATTTCAAACCCTCGATTTCCCTTTTTTTTTTTTTTTTTTTTTTTTGTTTGGAATCAAACCTTTGAACATCCATTTGGCATGTCTTGAATTACACATCCGGAGGGTCTTCTCCGACAAGTAATTAAGGAGGTGGAGTGCAAATGGTCTAACGAGACATCGACCACTGCCCAAGTACCATCCACGTGGTGTTTACAGTGCCGCATAAAATAGCTTTCGCGAGTTGGAACAACCGGCGAAGAAACATGAAACTCTGCATTTATCTACGAGTGCGACACAAAAAATTAAAATTAATCAATAATCAAATCAACATTCAAGAACATAAATATATAAAATCGAAACATGCATAACAAAATTCAAGGAGTAATTTCCAATATACTATTGAAACCTATTTTAGTATTGAAAATGCATTTCCATATTCTTTTTATGAAATTTAACGGCACAATTTCAACTTGTGTTTTGTGTCTGTTATATATATTTTTTAAATGCATAAATTAAATCTTGACGTGTCCGTGCTACATAGCGATACATTTGACATATAAATTAAAATGAAATTAAGATACATAAATTAAATTAATTTATGAAAGACTACAACTTTGATCATACCACTAGTGTAGCTTCATTGTGGCTTCCACCCACTCCATTCGATATGACTTGCAAATTCGTTGCTCTTGCAACCACACCGCAGAACACATTCGACCATCGTTCCTGCACGACAAATTTGAATGCACACACATACAAAACAAGTTTGGCAAAATCAAATCTTTTAAAATTTTATTTTGAGAAAAAAAATTCTTTTTCATTTCAAGAAAAATACTAAGCAAAATCGAAACTAGTATAGATAGCTCAATTAGTCATATACATACCACTTCCATGAGAATCTCAACAATATTTGTAGCACACATAGAAACAACAGCACATTCACGCGAAGCCTCCGATTTGTATCCATTAGGTTTGGGACCGAAAACTCTTGTAAAAGACCTCAAATATTCTTCTTCATTCAATAAACTAAAGTTTCTATCGACACTCGGCACCCACAATGGCTCACCCAATCGAGCTACTCTAACGAGCTCTTCCATGGCTGCAATAGCAATATCAATACTTCTTCCATTTTTCTTTGAAGTTCCAAAAGACACCAAACGACGAGCTGACGAAGAAGATGGATTATCCGTCATGCATGTCACGGGCTTGCCCAAGTACTTTGATGTTATAGCAGAAATGTGGTCAATCTACATTCAAATACATCCAAAAAAAAAAAAAAAAAAAAAAAGAGGAATAAAATTTAGTATATATATCAAGAAATGATTGATGGAGAGTTCTTTCACTTTAAATTTTTAATTATTTGAGTTTTCTCTTAGCCTAAAAAGATTAATTACCTCTTGTCTTAATCGCGCATTTTCTATTACCAGTTGTTGTTCTTGAAAGGATGTTTCTCGTATAGGAGTAGGGCCGCAACACGTCGAGCAAGATGCGTTGCTTAGTACTTCTTTGTACCTCATATTTTCGGCACGCAGCTTTTCGTTTTCGTTTCGGAGATTGGTGTTCTCTTGATGCTCATGTTGCGCCTGTAATTAAATAATAACTCCTCATATAACTACTATTTTTTTTTTGCAATTAATTAGGAAAAATAATTGACAGCTCTAAGATGAGGTGGCCATGCATGCATATATATACTAAATAGAAGAATTAAATTAAATTAAATTAAATAGCATACCTTCATCTGTGTGCGTTTGTTTTGGAACCAAAACTTGATTTGCATTGGTTCCAAACCTAGTTCACGACTAAGTTCTTTTCTTTGCCTGTCATCCGGATGTGGGCATTCCTTGAAAAACCTAAGAATAAATCAAAGTGACACGTGTTAGAAGTAGCCTATCGCCTTCACATCTATGTAGCACAGAGATAGAAACGGGGATACGGGGAAACGGCATATCTCAAAAAATGGGGATACGGGAGCTTGGGGGAAACGTGTAAATATTAAAATTATACGGGTATATTTATAAATATGCTATATAAATATATATAAGTTTTTATTTATATATAAATTATTTTTATGTATTTTTATACAAAAATATTCAAAATAAATCTTAGCTATATATGAATTATCAATCTGCAATTGACCATTAAATCCTGTAAATAATTAGAGAATCAACAAAAATATTTGAAAATTTGTTATTCAAACATGTTTCTAACTTTTCAAAAACTGTAAAATGACCTATATAGTATCTGACAGGTGACCTCGAGTGTCCGACACGAAACGTGTCCGTGCTACAGAGCTTCACATTTATTTGGACCTATGCATTTTAGTTACCATTTGTGTTCATACTAAATTCGGCTAAGAAAAAAATAATAATTATGTGTAGGTATAGTAATAATAAATCTCTGATAATAAAAAAATAATAATAAATATAATTTAACTACCGCAACTTTTTCGAGAAAAAAAAAAGGAATATATAAAATTTTGCAGATGTAAGATGTGCAAATTATTAAGACATTTCAGCTAGTTAATTCTTACGCTTCCATTTCTTGTATCTGTCGCGAAGTGTGGCGGTGATAATGTTTTCGTCTGGGCCGTTGGTCTCCAATTGAGTTGTCGTTATCCGATTTGCTGTTAATTTCTTCATCGCTTGTCCTTCGAATATCATCACCTTCGGAAACATTTGAATTCATGTTTTCTAAGTTGGTTTCTTAATTTCCCTGTAAAAAAATAGCAACAATAACAGTTAATATCTTTAATAAATATTTTTTTGTGTGTATACAATAGCATTAACGACGGCCCCTCTCATAATTTTTTTAACGCATTCAACCCCGGACTAAGAATTCTGACTCCGCTCAAAAGAAAAGGAACAATGATCACACACTAAATTCATGAATGGTACACATGTGTGTGACCATTGATGTGTTGGCATGCATGATTTGCAACATAGATTTAAAAAAAAAAAAAAAAATTATAAACCATATATAGCTAAAATTATTGATAAAGAAAGATTTTAGAGTAACCTCTTTAGACTTGTAGGTTGAGATCTATAATAAGAGTTTCTAAATTCTTCGATTTTACAATCAACCAAAAATGCATATATATAGTGCTGCTAATTCAATAAATTTGTATGGGCTTTTTATAGAATGATGTGATTAGAAGAAGCAAATCCTTGTAGATAAAGAGATTAGAATTAGCAAGAAAAGTAATAGAGGAGAATCATAAGAGAAGAGCAAAAGAGATAAGAAGCTGTAAAAAATAGTCCGAATATTTGGAGAGAGTACGGTGAAGAAAACTAGAGGCAATTAACGGTAAGAAAATCTAGAGAGGAAGTATTTATTATAGGTTTATAATGGTGTTAAACAACATTAAATACAGTTTGAAGTAATTTTGTAATGGAAAAAAATGTAACCTAGGGTTTGGAGATTAAGAGATATGAACCTCGATAAATTAATAACCTCGTTAAATAATAATTTCTTCCGGTCCCGATCTGGTGAAAACGTACTAAATTATTAGTTCGATAATTTAATATCCCACTAAATCAATATAATTTTACCAGTCCCAACTGTACTAATTTATAGAGATTTAATTGTATGTTGTTTTATAAAACTTTATTTTCGAGTTCTGTTTATATAGAAAAATCATCACATATCTAATTATATTTTTCTTTGTAAGTCCTCTCTGTAAATCTTTTCAAACCAAAAAAAATGGAATTGACAAAAAAAGAATAATAATCACGCAACGCATACCTCTAGAGTACAAAACTCGTGACGAGTCAGAACAAAAGAGATAAACGTTAAATTTGGATTATTGTTATAAATTTTTACCGGTATAAAATTTACGCATATTTATTGAGCTTCATAAATGTCTATCATATATGGAAGATGCTAGCTCGGACGACACAATTTATATTCGCATCAAATTTAATGAGATATATTATCTATTATTTCGAAGAAAATAATTTTTGAATCTGAAAATAAAAGATAAATCATAGCCATGTAAATTAAAAGAATTAAATTATATGAGATAACGTAATATGGAATTACCAATGGTATATTTCAGTAATTTTTTTTATTATTATTATTTTTGCTTTTGCCAAAGAGATTTTTATTCTATTAAAAATGGTGTACATGGGTCTCCTTAAAAACTTTGGGCATGGACCTTTCAGTTAGCCTTGCTCTGATACTATGTTGAATGACTATTGCAATAAAAAAATTAAGCTATTAGTGAAATGTATCATTTAGTATTAATATGTTCAATACATAAAATGCCCTACATATTCTCTTACATGCACGCCTCAGTAATTAATTACTTTTGTTGATTTAATTTGCATAAGTTTTGAGATACGCGGAGTATAAAACTTAAGTACTCTGAATGTCAAATAGATAGATGCCTCTATGAAAGAAGAATACATAATTTTATTTACTATGATATTTTTTTCAAGTATTCTAACATGTCATCAGAGTCATTATATAAAAATTTCAACTAGGTTTTTTGTTGATTTTAGGTGTTTTCTATTTTTCCTTCTCGCTTCAGCCGGGACAAAAAAATCCATAAACATCTGCTATTTCCTTCATTCTTTTGGTTATATAACTTCGATCCAACTTTTGGACGTACCACCACGACTGTCTTTTAACGCTCTATACATCGGTGGAACCGGCAGCTCGTCAGATCTGCGACGCACCTTCATGCACCATCGGAAGACTAACACGAAAATTTCACGCTTCGACGCTTGTCATGCGCTCCAACACACATGCGCCTGCCACCTAAAGCAAATGTGTCGTCGTGATGTCAGCATGGTCACCGTCAGCGCCCAGTCAACTGATTCTTGCTTTGTCATCTACCACGTCAGTGCTTCATCTTCTGGTCTGATTCCGCTGTGACTCGCCAAGTCAGCATAAGTTGACTTTTGACCGTTTACTTTTTCGTTCAGATCATTTTTAATCAACTTTTCGCGTAGAATTCAGATTTTTGATTTGTTTGTGCAAATTATGGATATTAGAGGCAACTCAAACCACTGGAGAATGAAGTTTGTGAACAAATTTTGCAACTACTGCAAACGTTGGGACCATTCTATCGGGACTTATTACTGTCGCAATAAATATGGTTAGTCTAATTCGCTAAACCCTAACTCTATCAAGTCTCGATCTTCTGGATCAACTATTCATCTCTCACCAACTGATCTAAGAGATACATTAGTTAAGGCTATTCGCACGGCTGGTAATGCATCTTTTTTCAATTACTCTTTCAATCTTGCCTACTGAGTCTCAATTTTGGCTCTTTGATTCTGCATGTTGCAACCACATGACTCACCGAACATCCTGATTTTCTAATCTTGAACCTGCACCGCAACCATTAAACATTCATATAGCTGATGATTCCACTTTGCACGGTAAAAGTCTAGGATTTGTTTCAATCCCTAATATTTATGTTCCTAGAGTACTTCATGTACCAAATCTATCTTATAATCTATTATGTGAGAAAATTAGCTTAATTAGGCTATTGAATTAGTTTTGATTATTTTGGTTGTATTGTGCCGGATCCGAGGACGGGACAAGAGCTCGGGAACAATCCTAGGATTGGTTATATGTTTCCCGTAGATAACCTTCGTCTTCCACCTGTTGTCATGCATCTATTGTTGTTGCTCTGCAGTTGTTGCTAGATCATCATTTTCTTCTCTTGGTGCTCTTATTTCGCGGTATTTTGTAACAAACAAAATTTAAAAACGTTAGATGGAAAAATTAAAAAATATTAAATGCAGAATAAAAAAATGATAAATGCAGTTTGAATTTACTTAATGCAAATTTCGAATTTTGTAGTGAAGGGATATTTTTGGAATGAATTTTATATAAATGATGTGAAACAAATGTTTAGTTGTGCTTGTCATTTAATTCTAATAAGTTTTTTCACAAGGACCTATATCTTAATGCACCTTATTTATAACATATATTAAAACGATGGACTTATTGACAAAATAGATATAACATTTAAACCTAGAATTATAAAGATGGTTGGTCAGAAACCTCCTAAAAAAACCCTTTTATTATAATGTTTGAGAGGTTTTATTAAAGAGCCCCTATTTTCTTAGCAAATAATTAAGATAAACCACGTCATCATATTCAAGAAAATCTTTCACTTGGACACACTCATGAGTTATGGCAGTCATAAGTTTCAGAAAAAAATAAAAAACCACAATTTAGAACTCAAAATGAAAACAAAACATATTAAACTCGATTGTTTTGTGCTTCCGTTTTTGTGTGTCAAAATTAATGAAAATAATTATTTTCCTCCCGAATTTCCATTCCTATCCAATTTTAGTTTTAAATATGTTTTTCCGGGATAATTTGACAAAACTCCCTCATTACACAAGTCTCATGATAATGAACCCAATTTTATTTTATATTTTTAAGATAAATTCAAAACAACTTTTATTAATTAATAACACTTAACTATCACCATTGTACCCTAACTAAGAAATAATGTATATCTAATTTATAATTAAAAGATATTTAATATATTTGCCATATATTATATACGTCTCTCTCTCTTGCGCGCACACACACACACAACACACGCACACACACACACACACAACGGCCATTATATTCGCACATACGCACAAGTTTATCCATTGTTGTGGGGTCGAAAAAAATAGAGATTCAAATACGCATTTAATAAAATAGAGAGATTCAAATACACAATTCAAAAGCACATGTTTCTCCATTGTTGTGGCGTCTGTAGACGCATAAATTAATTAGTTGGTTAATTAAATTAGCCAATTAAATTGTGTCTAAATTAAATTATAATTTATCTTGCAAAATAAGTTATGGAGATAATTATCAATTAATTATTGGCCAATAGGATTATTTCTTCTCTTCCAAGTTATAAGAGATAAATATCAATTTAAAGAGAGCCAATCAAATTGCGCCACGTCATGAAGAAGACTTTATGTAGGACTCTTATTCTACCACTATAAATAGGGACCCTCTCTACACAATTCAAAACACAACTCAAGAAGAAGAAAAAACCGTAGGAGAAAATTCTCTCTACAATATTCAAGTCGTTCTTCATCAAATTCAAGGCGTTCTTCATCAAATCGAGGGCGTTCTTCAACAAATCAGGATCGAAGGAAGATTGAAGGGCCAAATCCATCAAGAACTCCAAGATCTTCAAGTCAAAACCCATCAAAGTTCTGCGTTCGATCCGAGATTCAAGTCGCAAGACCCTCGGAAGACGTTATTTAAATCCAAATCAAATCCGGAGAAGATCAAGTCAACGACCCGACTCCGAAATTCAAAGTCAAACGCATATTGTTCTTGAGAGAAGAATCAGAGGATTAAATTAGAGTTTGTAACCCGCAATATTTATTTTTAATTCAATAAAATTATCTTTGTGCAAGTTTTTCTTGTTTGTCTAAATCACAGATAAGAATATTTTGCTACAAATTTTGGCACGCCCGGTGGGAACATCTCTACTTCTCATCTCTTCCCTCTCTCGAAGATCCTCGAAGAATTGCAGTGACTGCTCTGTTAGAGTAGGTGACCAACAAGCCAACATGTGGCTGTGGTCTTTCGTATTTATTATTGTAATAAACGAACCTTTATTCGTATTAATGATAAAACACCTTGGCATTCTATATCTTTGTCCCTTTGTCACAAGCATAGATATAGTCCTTACAATTATTACAAGTACT